CTTCGCTCTGGTGATCATGAGAGCATCGAGACCAGGTGCCACTTCCCTTGATGTTTATACTGCTAATTGTGCAGCTAAATTGTGCACTAACTGTGGGAACTGTTAAGAATTAGACGCAGAATAAGTTCAGCGCTCATTGTAACATATTCAATCTATTCCCTGTACAAATTGTTGATAAGCCATCACGAGTAAATGATAAATATTAGAATTTAATTTAGCGAATCACGTACGCTATCATGCGGCATCATTATGTCACCACCATTTCACATTGAGGCAAAAGTTGAAATCAGATTTTCCTGGGGTTATGTGATAAATTCTAAAACTTTAATGTTCGTAATATTTATTTTGGTAGCATATATTTTTCATGAGCAAAATATTAGATTTTACTGGATAATTCCTAGACTTCGTCATAAACGCTTTCAAATAATGTAATTGCGCCTCGCTTATAATAACCGTCGAAACATGTATTAAAGCACTGATCATTACCTTGAATCAAACGTACAGTATAGGCGATATGATTTATAGAGTTTCATTTGGTTTTAAGATAAAACAAGAACAATTCACAAGCTATATCAACCAATTCAATGCTCCAAGGAATAATAATATAGCCCAAAACGCACACTACTCAATTTGAAGTGAAAGTGAGCATTACTTAAAGGAGATGTCTAGGATTGTTTCAATTCAATTGCTCAAACATGAGACTATTTGTGTATTTCCCATTGTTTGAGATCTACGATCTCTCGCTGAGCACTGAAAGCATGAATAATTTATCACAGCGTCGCGGTGTATTCAATACAGCGATATGACAATGGAAAAACCGTAATTCAACAGCCGAGAATTCTACAGTGCGGTACTTAGAAGTAATGCTTGCTAAAACGGAGTAATTAAGCATTTGTGACAGATAATTAACATATTTGAATGTCATTATATATGTTAAAAAATAAATTCAATAGTCTATTTAATTTTCAATATCAATACGTTTGAGGATCAAATTGAATGATATTCTAAATGACGCGGCAATAAAATTTTGAATATTAAATGTATAATTGCAAGTCATCAATAAAGGGTTTTTCATGTTGAATAACTCTTTATACAGCGCGATTGGCTTTAGATCATATTTATATAATTTCACATGAAAATAAGTAATAGTGATGATGATTTAAATATTATTGAAGGATTCATTAGCATGAACTTTGTACACAATAAAATTTAAAGCATTTCTCAACTATTTAATTTAAAATTTAATGCATAGCGTGTGATGCAGAATCATCAATGGGTTAAGAAAACAAAGACAAAGAGCTATTACTTCTGTTAGCCATCAAAATCTTGTTAGTAAATTGTTATGGAATTTTGAACGTTTCACGTCAATAATACATGAACAATTCAATGCGATCGAATGTCGTATATTTTCCATCGTTCTTCATATGATTGCTTTGCGATGGATATATAGTCATTTATTTACTGACAATCTTTGTAAGATTCATTCGCAATGTAACAGTATACATTTTTGCTAGTAAATTCACCTGCATCGGCAACACCTTATAGTTGATGTAGACAAATGTTTAAACAATTCATTTGCGTACCAGAGAGGCTTAATGCAAATCAATCAGGAAGTAAGAGAACGTAAAGTTTGTTGTCGTTTTAACGCTCATGGTTTGTGAAGCACACAATAGATTTGAGCCTCAATACCTCATCAAAGTAAGGAACTCACAACTAAGCCCGCAAGCGAGAACAGCAAGCAAATACGGAAGCAAGGAAGGAGTGAGTATAGAGAAAACCTCGGTCCGGGGCGTAGAGAGGGGAGCTCGTTCTCAGTCATCAACGATAGTTTCACTTTTTGAGCATAAAAACAAGGAGCCATTACAGCAAGAAATGTTGGGAAAAGCATACAACAAGTTGGGTGCCTTATTCAACGAAACACAGAAACTGTAACTATTTATAGCACGTAACTAATCAGTATATTAAATTTCAGTACATGATAATAAAAAGGAAGAAAGTAATACATTCATGAAATTTTATACATAATCAAAATTATTCCAAAGCATTTTCTAGATAGTAGCATTAACACATAATGTATTTACTTTTTCTTAAATTGAAGAAAAAATACCAAAAAAATTCGCTGGAAATGCTAATATACATTGCTAATTCTTTTCCAAAATTACAGTAACGATTCTTCGTCGAGAATAAATATAAAGTTGGAGAAATGAAGATAGCACGGCAAGTGCGCCTTGAATAGCAATTAAATTATTCCAAGCTTATAAAAATTTTGCACATCAACCAGGCGATATTTTCGCTTGAATTTTCTGTAGAAAAGGCTTTGAAATTTTCAGACGATTTCAAGTTTGACTGTCAGAGATGAAGGAGGGCGATGAATGGCACAAGACTAAAATTATGCCTGGCAGAAATTGAAAGAAAGTTACGAATACGCTAGGGTACGAATGGTTAAAATGCGGTATGATTAAATAATTAAGATGTAAGAAAATTATTTAAATGAAGGTGCGCTTTGAATGGAATATTTCAGGCAGAGAAAGTCTTTGAATAAAAGATGGCTTAGAATGGAACAATACTGCAGAGTAGAAGGTTGCAAACGCGGAAAGACAACGAAGGCTCCCAATGTAATAAGGCTAACGATGGAGAAGGCACAAGCGTAAACGCATAAAACGCACGACTTCATGGCCTTCACCTTGGCTAGCACAATAGTTAAGCTAGCCTGGTCTGCCAGAGCTGACCTGCGACTCCGTTGATCTGTCAACAAAGAAGACGCCGCTCTTCCTACGTACGTGTAACCGCACACACCGTGTCCCTGACTCCATCAATGTTATACTGGCTTCCAGTAGTAGCCTTGCTATTGAAAATACTGATGAGCTACCGGCGCTGTCGTATCGCCGAGCATTGTACGGCTGACGGAAGAGAAGTTGCCACAGTAAATCGTCGATAGCGCTGTTCACTGAATAGCTGGCGGAAAAACATGCGTTTTCTTTATCCTTATATATGTGGAGAACAAGCATAAGACTGCGATTGGTGACAAGTCACCATAATTGTTCAGAAGCTGATACAGGAATGCAATCATAATTCTCTCGTGATTTAAGGCTATCTATCAATAATATGGTAACATAGAACAACATCTTTTTCAAGTGAAGTCATCACAGATTAACGCATCACTAAAAATCTTTCTAATTATCCGTTTAGCTCAGCTGTCTCATTAATAATAATGAACTGAACAACGACACAAGGGCATTAGTGATAGGCGATTTAATAATTCACCAAGACATTATAAGATAATTTTGGATTTTAAGGCAATAGAAGAAATGTAGACTTCGAATTAATAGATCTAATCAATTTGCGCTTATCAAGCAATAGCTTATACTGAATAAGTGGGTATATACTCAGCAAAGGTTGTATACAAATGATTATACATAATACCCCTATTTATGAATGACACGTCAACTATACAGTTTACTAAGAAAGAGAAGCGTGATTATTCGTGAAACTTTCATTAGGCGTGTCCAACGTGAAGGAGATAAAAAATATGATATACTTGACACTTTCACGGCCAACCAAACAGGCTTCGTTTGATGGGCAGGTTCTCACAATATCAGAGAACATAGAAAGATTCTCGCGTGAATGTTCAAGTATTTTCCAACTAAAACGTAAAGCTAGCAATGGGTCTTTGTTGACATGTCTCTATAAGTACGAACGCAGCAGCGTCGCTAAAAATCTTTTGACATACGGTACGCAGGATATATCATTAAATCCAAGGCAAAATTCAAATCTCACATTTTTTCCGTCTCTCTTGGGTCGACAGTTCTATCGACCGTAACCTTGAGAGTGAGGCATGTAAGCAATGCATAATATTGAGCATGATGGGTGCATTGACCATCTTCTTAATTCACATGATAATTTCTGATTAAAAAAAATTTGTGAAAATATTCGTATTCAGTGATATACTTTCCAACAACTCCCACAAGCTATCGGATGAATTCAAGTTCATAGTTCATAATCTTCAAAAACATTAGAAACAATGATAAAATTACAAATTCGTATTTTAGAACTCATTTGCTACAGCGACTAAATTTTCACAAGAAAAGTAAAAATCAGACTTTGCATTCAAGGGTTAACCTTCTCCAAGGTCAGTCAATCCTTTGGGAATACGTAGAAAAAAATCTCGAAAAACTAACCAAAAAACGTTCAAAACTTGATCATGACGACGATGTAATAATATTCACATGGTTATTGAATGAACTGAAAGACTTGATGGCAAGTAGATAATTTTTTTTACAATCTGCGTTAAAGCAAACTACGCAAAAAGCGAATTGGATTTTCACCTCACGTAAACTGCTGCAACGATTTACTCATTCAAATATTTTCGAGCCACAGAAAGAATGTACAGAAAAACCTGGACTATCGTCGATTACAGCGTTCTGTACAAACAGCAAACGCCATAAATCATTACATTTCTATCTTTAAGCAAGATTCATGCTCATTCGATCACAAGTCACAACATTTACCCTAAGTTGATCCACCACAACCTGCAGTGTTAGGTTATCGTAGTTTCAAACACGGGCCGGTAAAACCGACGCGCAGTCGCGGTCTCGAAGTGAAACCGGACTGCGACTTGGCAATCACATAATTCCTTTTTTTTTCTGCCCACAAAAAGACAGACGGAAACTCCACTCACAAACGATCGTCCTACAATGCATATCGATCGCTTGTGGCTGGACTGAAATGATGATTGTGATATTTATTATAAGAGCACTAAAAACTCACTAATACACGTTGGCGATAAAAAAAAATAGAGCTTTACACAAGAAGTAAAATGATAAAATTACATGCGATATTCGATAAGTTAATGCATTTCAAGCCCAATACTCAGTCTGTGCACGAAGCTGCTATATAAATGAGTAAAATTTAGGAGAGACTACTGGAATAAAGGAAGGCTCGCTGCACATAAAAACAAATCTTTTTACCTACCACGTTACTTAATCTTGACAGTCTCGTACCTGGAAGAAGAAACTACGAAGAAAACGTTTGTAGAGGACGGAGGAAGCACATGAATTCTAACACAGGAGCGATGGAAATCAGGCTTATGATATAAGTTAATATGGGTGCAGGTTGCCGACTGCAGCGTCCACCGGACGATCACGTACCACCAGAAGCAACTGACGTAAGGACGCACGACACGCAACTGAGGACTGCAGCTCCCGACCACCATTCCTACGATCCTTCGCCCGCCGCTGCTGCACCAGCAGCACCTGCTGATAGCACCACAACAGCGATCCTTCGCCCGCCGCTGCTGCACCTGCAGCACCTGCTGATAGCACCACAACGGATAATGCTGCTGCAGTCAAAGCACCTGCTCTTCGCAGTGCTCAATGCTGTGCAGATTACTGCATCAATTAATCAGCAGTGCTGACGTCAAAGACCGTCTATCAGAAACCAATACTTTTTCTGCCTGCAGATGTGGTTCCTGGAAATGTGGCTGCCGCTTTTCTTGCTAGCTGCTGTCTCAGAAAATCTGATTAACGTGGAATATTTTAAATTTTCAGTTAAAGAACATGCGAGGTCTAGTCTCTGGTGATTGTTGTCACTGTTATGTAACTGTAACCGTCCCTGGAACAGAGGATATTGTTTATACATTATTTTCAGGTTATTTACTATTTACTAGAAGTACCAATAGATTTTTGTTGTTTTGAATACTTATAACTTCATCATCCACGTGACCGTCCCATGAACAGTAATCACTGATTACTGCAATCGAGGAAAATGTTTGGCTCCTATATTTATCCCCGTTAAAAATACTGATCGTTCATCATTCAAAAAGAAAGTCCGGCCATTCAGAAGCGATTTGTTTCACAGCCTCGACATTCGACTGGGAATCAGTCTGCCGCTTGCGTATAAGGCATTTATGACGCGTGTAAAATACATCAAATGGAACAGTATTAACGCTAAGAGACCAACAACTTACCGACTGTCAGACATGCATGTGTGGATGTGTACACATCAACCGTATTTAATTATAACTGATCATTTTTAAAGAATGTGCACTGGATTTTAATTCCAAATATTCAACCGGATACATAATATTATTATTTAACTTACTTTGTTTGTCATTACATAAATGGAAGCCAATCTAAACTATTATCTGCAATTCACAGATTCAGATTTAACCGATAGAATTAGCATTGGAGGCCAAATGTTCGGCAGCGGCAGGATCGCATCTAACCTTGAAAACCAATTTTTTGCCATGAGAAGTTGCCTGGTAGGTGCCCAGCATATAATAGGCTCGATCCCAAGACATACATCCATCCTGTTCACCTTGAGATCAAACCCGCGAGCTCCCCAAACGTCTCCATGCCTCAAAGATCATTGCTCTTCAAGAATATATTAACTGAAACTCGTTAGATAAATTAATTTAGGACTTCAAGGGGTAAATTAACAGAGGACTAAGGAAGGAGATCCTAAAAATCAATCTTAGAGATACTGGAGCGTCTAGGTTCGTTGCACTCCAATCACAACCCATCAGTAGTGGTCACATCAACTGATTGGATGCTGAAAGTTTTACACCAAAATAAAGATCCATTCTGCTTAGTAAACAATAGAACGTCACATGCGTACTGAATGCTAGCGCTATTCGAACTGTTACTGAAATAATATTCACGCGTTGAAATTAATTGTGAATGTCTTCAGCGGAATGCAAATGAAATTCGACATCCAAATCTACGAACCTGAATCGACGAATGAGCTTTTCAGCTATCATTCCGCCTTAAATTTAAGATCATTGCCGTATAGCAGTTACTGTTAAATTACTTCTTCAGAAAATTAGCAGGAGTTATGAGAAGCATTGAGAGTTGACCAATTTTATTCTGTAGCTACTTCATATTATGCGGCGTCCAATAGCACCACTTGACGCTTCATGAAACAATTGGTCAGGTCTGGTGATAAAGCACTTGAAATGGTTCTCTCGAGTTAATTTAAATCTCAAATGAGAAATAAATAAAGTTCATCTCGACGATGAATTCAATGACTGGCTAAACAAGGAGTACAACGTGGACAGTTCATGTAAAGAGTACAAAGTGCATCCCAATAAAATATGAGAACAATAGGCATTACACCATGTAATGTCGATCTTTCAAACAATGCGAGTGCAATGCTTAACAACCGATCAGATAAGATAAAACTATTCTTTTTGGAGATTTTTTTTTCAGATTTGTGCAGTCTAATAAAAAATATCCATTTCATTTGCAATTACATGTTCGCTAGTGATAAATTTTCAGGGTCTCACTTAAATTAAGCTAATCCAAAATTAATCTTCAACAATCTAATCTGAATATTCTCTTCGCTATTTTACAAATTGAAATGGTATATGAAAAGAATCGTTCGGAGCCTCAGACCTCATGAGGTTTAAAGAAAGATAATTTATATTCAAATCAAACCGTGACTCCTGATAACTATTGAATATATCAATTTAATAAGCTGAGCTCGATAGTACTGCAGACACGTAGAAGACTTTCAATATTCATAATAGTTTACTGCAAATCGAAATTTTTTGCACGTCCGTACGTGAATTAATAACAGATTTTAGGAGCCTCTTGGTTCTGAATTTGTGAAACAACCTTTTTAACGTCAGTATTAACGCTCAAAATAATACTAAAGCTGAAATTATTTTCGGCAGTCGTTCTTAGTATGATTTTCAAGATTCATAACTGAAGCAGTGGCCATTCATCATTCATAAAATGCATCAGTCACTGATGGAAAATTGGTCTAGCGTCAAATACCGAAACCAAATAAAAACAGCAGCTGCATGGAGTGAGTTGAGCGAAAAGCAGAGCGATCGACTTAATAATGAATGTAGTCGCTTCCAGTGCGCTGGCCTCACTGTCATACATACGCAACAAAGATGTGACAGAATTGAACAAAGGATATGATATAATCGATCGACAATTGACAAGGATAGAACTAAAATTAATTAAATTTCATATTGAACGAAATGAAAATGTGCCACTCTGTACACGTTAAAATTTATTGTAAAATGAACGATTTCAAGCAAGAATTCGTGTGCTGCTAAACCTTTGAGAGTTCGTAGCACACCAAGAAATTTCATCAGAAGAATTCATAACATTATCAGTTAGCGTGGTGAATAATTTGGCAGCATTTTGCATGGAGAAAGTCCGAATAGTAATGATGATTATGATGATTGTTGGCAAAATTAAACGACTGTGATGACAATCATTACCCAATGCGAAGAAGACCAGGGTGTATTTTCCAATTCACTTCACAATTGTTATTGAATAATTCAAAGATTTAATCAAACTATGGTTTCTGAGCAGATGGAACTGCACTTATCGAGGCATAAATTCATGTTTACTGAATAAAATAATTTTCTTTCAGGTATATGTTTTTACACTATTCTCAGCACAATATTTAATTAAAATATCGATATGGCAACAGACATACTAGCATAAAAAGTATTATTTCATAGTCTTCTTAGCACCGCATTGATGTGCTAAGAGCAATTACCACCGCAAACTTCAATGTTGAATCGCACATCAAGATTGACCCTGACTGCCAATTATAGATGCTAGCTCCTGGTATTATTCACTCGTCGCCGCAGTATCCCATTCATGGCCTGCCACGCCCGTAGTATCGTATAGGATTTTAAGAGGCCATATTTGAATGGCCACATGTTTTTAGGCCATATAATTTGAGGCAAATTTTCAAGGCCATTACACAGGGCCAGCAGCGAACGGCTGCATTAGCGTCGAGGGTCAAAACCTTGACTGCTGCCAGACTCCGGGACGTCGACAACAAAGTGAACGAACATGCAACATGGGCCAATGTTGCGGGCCTCTGTCTTCTGCAGCAGCAATGGTGGTTGTGTGGATTCGTGATGTGTGAAAGAATGTTGGGAGTTGAAGGATTAAGTATTACGAGCTGAATAACGCTAGTTTAAATGCCATGTGTAAGAATGTTGAGTATAAATAGGAATGCTGTAGGTTCTCAAGCTGCAGGTTTCATGCTGAATGTGTGCGTGAGTGCTGAAGCGTTTTGACTTCGCAAGCGGCTTGGTTGCGGTACAAAGAACCATAAAATGGAAGCTACGATGAAAACCAAAAATAGTTCCTACCTTTAGGTTTATAAGCAAGTGTTTATATTTATAAACATAACTTGAATCACTACACGATGACTTAATTGAGGGTCAAATAAGATCAACAACGCACAGGACGCCAAACTGCAGCCATAAGTGCAGCGCATTGGAATTCGCCAGGAAATCAATTGGCAAGAGGAAGATAATTCAAGTGCAGTTGTCGAGTCATCCTCTCTCGGTGTAGGGACAACTACACGTGTTTACTCTTGTGCTGCACACAGCCTAAAGTTATCACAAACTTTTAGAAGTAATGCAAGGAATGGAAGTTTACCTGAGATATCTGTGTATAGCAGCTCACTTGTGAAGTAGTACAAGGAGCGCGGCAGTAAATACAATCCCTGCCTAGCATCTTATATACGAGTGAAGAAAGACAAGGAACGTGCCAGTAAATGAAACACCTTTTTCACAGCTCACGTGGGAAGTAACACAAGGAAAGAGGCAGTAACTACTGTCCCTGTCTCGCAGCACACACGTAAAGTAGCACAAGGGAAGAGGCAGTAACTACTGCCTCTGTCTCGCAGCACACACGTAAAGTAGCACACGGGAAGAGGCAGTAACTACTGCCCCTGTCTCGCAGCACACACGTAAAGTAGCACACGGGAAGCAGCTGATCAAGAGTGAAGTAAGAAGTAAGTGAGGCACTCAGGATGCAACGCACCTCACTCATGCACCGTGCGTACACACCAAGGTTAAGGTAGTCAGGGTGCACAGCTCGCGTACAAATTGAAAGTGTCGCATTCTGCACACTGCGTCGTTCTGGCTCAATGCTTGTGTGCTGCTGACCCCATTCCAAGTTTATTTTGTTTGTATCAGACACTAAACGAAAATTACTTCTTCACTAAACGAAGATTTATTTCTTCAAACATGAAATTGTGTTGAGAAATCAAAATAATCTACAAATTTATAGTCAGTGAGGTCTAGAATGAGAATATCCTGGCAATAATATTGAGTAGGAGAATATTCGCGAACAAGATTTTATTAAAATACAAAAATAAAAGGTCGGGTTTGATAGATCGAAACCGTCAA